AATACGCACCTAGTCCCAATGACAAAGAGGTCGAGATGGGGACTAGGGATGGAGGTACAAGGTTTATATAGTAAATCCTGGGCAGTGTCCATAACAATGCCAAACAAATGAGTCAGAGTCCAAAAGCACAGCCCACGCGGAGTGTGAACGAAACAAGACAATGCGCGAGAAGATAAGAGAGATAGGGGTAAAAGAGAAAAGACAGGGGCTGTACCCTCGCATCCGCGACATTACCCCCCTGCTAGGCTTCGTCGTCCTCGACGAACTACAGACCACCATTCCAAACCGACAGGAGGGTGGCTCTGATGCGCTTGGGGGCAGTTGGGTTGGTGTGGTGGAAGTCATTTACCAGGTCTCTGGCGTGTTTCATGTCCTTCGCCTTGACCCAGCTGTCGTGCCCTTCGTCATAACCTTTCCACCGGACCAGGTAATGGAGGGCGCGCCACCGGATCTTGCTATCGAGGATCCGCTCTACCTCGTATTCGCAAGTGTTGTGACCCAGTTCGACCGGTTCTGGGGGTGGGGGTCGCTTGCCGTTAACGTCATTGCCGCGCCAGGGGGAGAGCTTGTCGACGTGGAAGACAGGGTGAAGGCGGCTCATATCGTGCGGAAGGTCTAGCCTGTAGTTGAGGTCGCCAACCTTCTTGAGTACTTCGTATGGTCCGAGCTGTCGGTCACCTACTTTCTTGGTCGGAATCTGCAGGTCGATGTCTTTCGAGCTGAGCCAGACGTGATCTCCGACCTTGAAGACGTGCACTTTGTTCTTGTCACGCTCGTAAGCTTCCTTCTGCGCTTTCTTGGTATTGCGAAGTGCCACTTCGACATCCTTGCGTGCCTCGCGTAGTGCTGTGATCCGGCAGTCGACCTCGGGTATACCGGCTCGGCGTCCAACTGGGATGTTGAAGAGCGGTAGGTAGCCGTATGTGACCTCGAATGGTAACATGCCGTGTGCGGAGTGCGTGCGTGAGTTGATGACAAACTCGGCCATGGGGAGGTGGGCGTCCCAGTCGTCCTGACGCTTGTTGACGTAGAGGCGGAGGTACTTCTCCACTTCTTGGTTCGTCCTCTCCATCTGCCCGTTAGCCTGGGGGTGGTAGGCGGTGGTCATGGCGGAGTCGATGCCTAAACGGCGTAAGAGCTCCTGCATGAGGCGGGCCGCGAACTGAACTCCTCGGTCGGAGACAAAGCGTAGGGGTAAGCCGTGGAGACGGAAGATCTCCCGATAATAGATATCCGCCACTCCCTTGGCATCGATGTCTGACGTGCAGGGTATGGCGTGCATCTGTTTACCAAAGTGATCAGTGCAGACCAGGATTGTGTCGTATCCGTGCGCCTTGGGGAGTTGCGTAATGAGATCGACTCCAACCTGCTCCCATAGGCCTTCTGGGGTGTCTAGCGGTTTGGTCAGGGCTTGGGGGTGTCGGACTAGTTTCCGCCGTGCACAATCTTCACACCCCTCAACGTACTTTTCGGCGAAGGCGCGCATCGAGGGCCACCAGAAACGGGCGTCGAGGAGGGAAATCGTGCCATGTACTCCCGGGTGTCCAGCGGTGGGGCTGTCATGACACATCCTTAGGACGTCGCGTTGTAGCTCAACGTCCGGCGGTACGTAGACGCGGCCCCTGTAGAACACCAGTCCGTCTTCTTCCTCCCACTCCGTCAGTCCACCCGCTAGTCGCTTCGGCCCCTGCTTCTTCAGGTTCTCCAGCGCCTCTAGGACGTTGGCCTCTCGGCTGCTGGCCCGTCTAATGTGCTCCTCTAGGGGGTTGCTCAGAGCTGTGGCAGCCAGCTTAGCCCATCGCTCTGGACCCAGGACGACCTCCTGTCTATTGTCATCAGCATCGGAGGTCTGGTGCGCGGAAAGTCGCGAGAGGGGGTCGGCCTGCGTGTGTGCCTTCCCGGGGCGGTAGGTGAGCCTGAAGTCAAAGCAAGAGAGGTACGTTGCCCAGCGGGCCTGGCGGCGGGTCAGGTCCTGAGCGGTGCACCAATACTGCAGGTTTGCGTGGTCGGTGACGATCTCAAATGGCTCGGGTAGTCCTTCGAGGAAGTGGCGCCATTCCTTTAGTGCTTCAATAATCCCGAGCAACTCGCGGTCGTAGATCTCGTAGTTGCGTTCCGCAGGTTGCATCGAGGCTGATCGAAAGGCCACGGGGTGCCAGCTGCCGTCAGGGAGTTGTTGCAGTAGGACACCTCCCGTGGCAAATCCCGAGGCATCCACTTCGACCCGAGTTGGTCTTGTCGGGTCCCAGAGTACCAGGATCGGGGCGGAGGTGAAGGCTCCGCGAAGTGCCTCGAAGGCGGTCTGTTGTTCTCGGTCCCAGCTCCAGCTGTGGTCCTTTTTTGTTAGATCGTTGAGGGGACGAGCAATCGTGGAGAAGCCTCGGATAAACCGGCGGTAGAAGTTGGCAAACCCGAGGAACCCGCGAACGTTGCGAAGGTTCTTTGGGGTCGGCCAATCTCGTACTGCGGTCACCTTGGCTGGGTCCATGCTCACTACTCCCTCACGGATCACCAGGCCTAGGTACTCGATCTCTTCTTGTTCAAATTCACACTTCTCGGGTCTGAGATAGAGGTCGTGCTCCTCCAGTCGGCGTAAGACTTCGTGTGTCACTTCTTGATGTTCCTCTAGTGTCATGCTGAAGATGAGGATATCGTCCAGGTAAACCGCGACCTTGCCCTTGGAGATGAGATCGGCGAAGATGGAGTTCATCAGTGCTTGGAAGGTGGCAGGGGAGTTGGTGAGACCAAAAAACATCACCATCGGCTCAAAGAGTCCTCGGTTGGTTGCGAACGCGGCCTTCCACTCGTCTCCCTTCTTAATCTGCACGTTGTTGTAACCCCATCGGACGTCGAACTTGGTGAAGTACTTGGCACCTCGGAGCCGGCCAATGATGTCGCTGACCAGTGGGAGCGGGTAGCGGTTTTTGACGGTGATGGCGTTGAGTTTTCGGTAGTCTTGTATGAAGCGGAGCTTGCCATCCTTCTTCTTGATGAAGAAGACTGGTGATGCGTGTGGCGATTTGGAGGGTTGGATGTAGTTCTTGCGTAAATTGTCGTCCAGGAATCGCTCCAGTTCGTCTTGCTCGTTGACCGGCATTGGGTAAATCTTGGTGCGCATGGTCTCGGGCGCTCCGGGTACGAGTTCAATGGCGTGGTCCCAAGGCTTGTGCGCGGGTAGTCGTTCCGATTCCACTTCGGAGAAGACCTTGGCATGCTCTCGGTATTCAGGAGGGATCATCTCCTCGAAGGTGCGCTCGGGCTTCCCTTTCTGCGACTCGATGGCTATCTGCTGAGAGTAGGTGAACCCGGCCGCGCACCAGACCTCCTCTCGATGATCCTCTAGAATCCCTTCCTTCACTAGCGCCCTTCGCAGCGCGCGGTTAGCGCGGATGCGGCATAGCTGGGGCTGCTCCTCCTCCTCCTTGTCTTCATCTTCCTCCACCTCCTGTAGCTCTGGGATACGGGACTGTAGGTGCCCTTGTTCCCAATCGATGTCCGGGTTAGTCTTCTTAAGCCAAGGCAGGCCCAGAATGACGCTTTCTCCGCCTAGATTGGTGACTAAGAAATCCGTCTAGGCTTCTTGATCATCGACTGTGAGACGTAGTCGGGCAAAGTGCGAGATATTGCCTGCTCGGTTCGGAGAGCCATTGATGTTAGTGATGCGTATGGGGGACCGGAGAGGGAAGGTGGAGATTTTGTGTTGGTCAACGAAGAGCTGATCCAGAAATAGCGCTGTTGCGCCTGAGTCGACCATTGCCGCGGTCTCCATACTTCTATTGCGTCCTTGTAGTTGTACTGGGATCCGGAAATGCGATGACAACGGGTCTATAGATTTCATGGTTCTTATAGTACATGCTCGAATCGAATCGTATAACGAGGTGGACAACATAGAGTATGGAGACGGGGGTGCTTCTGCTGCGGCAGTAACAGGCACCCGCTTTAAAAACCCGGGCGGAGACGGTCGAGGAGGGCTTGCTGCTCAGCCAGGATCCTCTCGAGGTCTGCGATTTGGGTGGTGTTCTGGTCGGCGACGGGGATGGAGGCCGCAACAGTGGCGGTCGGGGGCTCTGTGAAGAGGGAGAACGGGGCGGAGTCTTGCCTACTGGCTGCGACGCGCTGTCGGCCTTGCCCGCGGCTGAGCTGACCTTGGTTACGCTCCCGGCCGAGATACTTGTCCTCGCAGACCGTCTCCTTGTGCCCCGTGCGACTGCAATAGCCGCAACGGTCAGTCTGGTGGTTCCCGTCTCGCTTCAGGTGCTCCTTGGACCCACAGCCGAAGCAGCGGCCGGTCATGGCGCGCTGGAACTCCTCTCGGGTCTTCCCGTTTCCCGTGCGCGTAGCGTCCACCTCCATAGCATAGGGGTCGGCCGCGGGGCGAGGGGCGGCCTGGGGCGTGTTGCCATAGCGGCGCGAGGCGTAGCCTCCGGTCTCCATGCGGAGCTCATCGAGCAAGTCCTGGGCTTTGCACGCTCGTTTGACCAGCGTGTTGAGGTCGGTTGGCTTGCCATGCGCAAGCTCAACTGGCAGCAGCTGGGTCTTGATGGCGTTGGAGAGTCGCGCGTAGAAGTGGACACGGAGGTCGGCGTCGGAGTAGCCGGTGCGGGAGGCCAGGTCTTGGAACCGGGCCGCATAGTCTGCCACCCCAAGGGTGCCCTGAGACAGCTTGTCTAGGGCATGTCGTGCCTCTGCTTCCTCGTCTTGGGCCTGCCAGCGGACCTTGTAGTTGTCTACAAAGGTGGTCCACGACTCAGAGAAGGGGAAGGCAGGTGCGTTGACTCCTCCGGCCTCATGAGACGCAATGTCTTCTACGTAGCGACGGCCCCAGGTGGCTGCATCTCCTTCCATCAGGGAGAGGGCGGCCTTGATCCAAAGGCGGTCTTGGCGTACGCCCGCGAGGTTGAGAGGGCGGCCCTGCTCCTTTGCCCAGATCTGGAAGTATGCTAGGAAGTGGCGGGCATCGCTGCGTTCTCCCTTGAAGGCTGTGGGCTTGGCAATGGCCTTGGTCTCCGCGTTGACGGTCTGGACCGCCGGTGCCTGTTGTTGACCCTGGGCTTGGGTCTGGGCCCGCATCGCCTGGGTTTGGGCTTGCATCGCCGTTAGCAGCTGATTCAGAGTGGTGCCCAAAGCGGCCTGGTTGGTGACCAGCTGTGCGAGTTGGGCTTCCATGGGGTTTGACGGAGGCTGTGGTGTGGGTGGAGTGGTTGCGGTGGGGATAATCAGTGGTGCGGAGTTTGGGCGGAGTGAGGGGGACGGGAGCCTGGTGGGGGGTTGCGTACGAGTGCGACCTACGCGACTGCCAAAGGGGGCAAAAGGCTGTAGGGTGGGGGCTAGAGTGGGAGAGGACGGCGGTGTCCAATAGCGGGAGCATGCGGTGGGTTGTGGTCGGCGGAGGATAGAGAGGAACGAGGGGATGATGACGTCAAAGTCCCACTCGTCGTTGTTCTCGTCTACCGGTCGTTCGTCCTGTTCGTCGACTTGGATTCCGTGGAGGGGGAAGTTGCGCGCGTTGGGGCAAGGGTTATCGTCACACTCTTCAAAACTGTCATTATCGAGGGATACGTGTGTTCGATAGACTAAAGAGAAGCCGTGTGGGCGGCCTGCACAGCCGGTGGTGTTGGCTGAGAAGCGGGGTGTGGTGGCTGTAGGCTCTTGCCGGGGTACTGGAGCTGAGGGAACTTCGCGGTGCTAGCGCTCGCGTCAAGTCTCTACGTAGAGGGTGGAGTGCGTGTGGGAGAAGGCATAGATGAAGATGGCGGCGTAGGCGACGATGGCAAAGGCGACGAGCGCAAGAGTGAGACTGAGGTCGACGGACAGGATGATGATGAGCTCCAGCGAGTACGCTGCTGGAATGTGACAATTACTGGTCTGTGTGACGGTCCTGCAGGGGTGACTGGAGCTGAGGGTCGTCAGTGCAGTAGTAGATCTTGACCTAATGTGGCGGAGACGGCGGAGCGGAGGAGCTTAACGACGCTAGAACAGCAGACTCAGAGCGGCGACGGAATACGGAGGATCCCAAGGACTAGTCCCAATGACAAAGGTTAGATTGGTGTATCTACAGGTACATCAGGGTATGAATACGCACCTAGTCCCAATGACAAAGAGGTCGAGATGGGGACTAGGGATGGAGGTACAAGGTTTATATAGTAAATCCTGGGCAGTGTCCATAACAATGCCAAACAAATGAGTCAGAGTCCAAAAGCACAGCCCACGCGGAGTGTGAACGAAACAAGACAATGCGCGACGAAGATAAGAGAGATAGGGGTAAAA